TAATTTAATACTTTCGTAATGCAAGCATTCATTTCACGCATGGAAATTAGTTTCGTGCCCTGCGCGATTTTTTGGTGAAATTAATGTCATGCAACTAATTTCATAGTAGAGACGCGACGTGAAACTAATGTCGTGAAAGGGCCTGCGCTGTGCGGACGTGTGCATTGTTAGTTCGGACGCGCTTCAAGCGTTGAAAATGGCAAACCAACGATGGAGTACAGATAAAAATATAGATCTTATTAATGAATATCAATGACAAGGGTCCCGAAACACCTACAGTAAAAAATCAAAATTATCCTCATTCGAAAATAGTTTTTATAATTCTCAGGATCTTCATCTGCTAATTCAGAGACTAACTTCATTGCACCTAAATGCCTTCTTGTTGACCATCCTCGAATCTACCAACTTTTTTTTTCTTGATAGTCTTTTTTTAAGTTTATTGGTATATAAGCATTTCTTTAGCTACATTGAATATAGCAAAATATAGCTTTGATGCTGAAGGCGCCATGGTTACTGCGATACTGTGGATTTCGCGACATTAATTTTTTAACGAAATTACTTTCGCATATATCGAAACTACTTTCGTGAAACTGAGTTCAACATGCATGACACTAATTTCGTAATGTAAACTCCGCATTACTGAACATATCACACTTAAAAAAAAGTGTGCAATTCGCACGTGGTTGAAGTGAAACCTTCAAAAATTAAAATACAATTATCCTAAATGCCTAAGTATATGTAAAATTTTGGCATTAGTAAATAATTGTAAATCATCTTTTATAGTATGAGGTAGCGCCCTCTGTGAATTGATATTTTAACTTCACGTATAATCCTAAATTAAAATTAAGTACAAGAGGTTTCATACACACGTTAGTATTAAAAAAAATCTCATAGATGGCGCTGTATTAAAAAAAAACTACACAGAACGTCTAATGTGTTCTATCTCATTCTCTCGCCGGCTGAATCCTATACATTTATGTGTTTGCGTCTCTATGGACTTATTTTTTCATTTCATCGAGTTTGAAATCACAACGATTCTAAAGAAGTTTCACTTCAAAAAAAACAATTGCAAATATAACAGGCCGTTGTAACGTTTTCATTACGTTAAAATCCACTCGTCATCAACGAACAATGAACAATAAATTAATTATTATGTTAATTATTAATATTATTAATATTCGATTCTCGTCATTTGTGGGTAGTTTGTTAATTATTTGTCCCTTAAGTGTATGGTGATAATTTTGAATATAGCATTTATTTTCTGTTGACTCGTGTGTTTTATTTATCTATCTCCGGAAATACCGGATCCTCCTCAACCCTGGATGTCTAAACGTGACTGATGCGTCTATTTCTTATAGGTAACTTGAGGACAGAAAAATGAATAAATGCGTTTACTTCTTCAAATACTAGTAACAAAACAAAGAATGTGCACGTCAATGACCTTGATCTGTCAAAGTTCGATAAAAAAGTTTGGACAGTAACAAAAAAGCTTTTATCTTCTATTTTTTAGTGATTTTTTTGCCTAGCTAAAAAAGATATTAATATGTTTGTTCTAATGAACCTATATAATTTTCTTGATATTTTCAGTGCTGGTCGATTTGGATTATAAATTAATATATTAAAAAATTCCTGCCTTTTTTAAGTGACTATCCACCTATTTTTTTCGATTTGACAGCTATGACGTCACAATATGGCGCAGGTCCATGCACATTCTTATTTGAGGCCATGAGCGCAAAAGTGGCCTCTACTCCGATGGCGGGCGGTGCGATGGTAAAAACGAGATGGAATCATCTCAAATAATTGCTCAGCAGTGCCAACGGATCATTATTATATCAGTACACCACGATTTCCAACAAGATCTGACTGGTAGTGAGTGGACTCATAGACACGGGTCTGGTAGTATTTTTATGATTGAGGGGTGGTGGTAGGATTACTGGTGGCCCGGAGGCCTTTCCAGTTTCACCAGAATAGGTAGGCGAACAAAGGCTCAGCCAGGAGGGGCGGGATTTGCTAACAGCTGCCCGAGCGCCTCCGAAGGATACCTAACAACTCAAGAGCAGCTGCTTCGCGAATGAATACAGGCGGATATAATCCGAAACACTCATGCGCTCTAGTTCGAAGCGTGGGGCAGGCTTGTAATGAGGGCGATTGAGGTCTGGACCACGTTTTATTTATTTATTTTTTATTGCTTAGATGGATAAACGAGCTCACAGCCCACCTGGTTTTAAATGGTTACTGGAGCCCATAGACATCTACAATGTAAATGCGCCACCCACCTTGAGATATAAGCTCCTTTTTTTGCCTACCTAAGCTGATAGCCTTGAGAGGCTATTTCAGCGTAACCTTAACTAGCAGGTGAGCTCACGCGCCTTAAACCGGAGTGATGCTAACACTGACCCTAGCAAGTGTAGTGCTTCGCAGAATCTACCACCGGATCGGAAACGCGACCCACTGAGAAGATCCGGCGAGAAACTCAATGGGCTGCCTGTGGGTTAATTCGCTCGTCGAGCCCTTCGTTGCAAGCGACGGGTTCGACGAGAACGGTGATCGGTGCTTGTGGTACCTAAAAGCACCGTTAATGGATCGGGTATAAGCTCTAAGGTCTCAAGTATAGTTACAACGGCTGCCCCACCCTTCAAACCGAAACGCATTAATGATTCACGGCAGAAATAGGCAGGGTGACGGTACCTACCTGCGCGGACTCACAAGAGGTCCTACCACCAGTAAAAAGTGTCTCAAATGTTCTTGTTGCTGTTGTTTTATTGCTTAGAGCAGTGATCGGCAAAACGCGGCTCTTCGACAAAATGTTTCCGTATTTAATTGTTATATCGAGGGTTGAAAAGCTTTAGCGATATTTTTGCAACTTTACAGGGGAGCGATTCAAAGTTTGGGAGGTTTATAACGAAAGGAAAGATCTTCCACCGAGCGGGTGATATTTGCTCGATAGACCGACGGTCCGAATGTTGTTGTTCGGAACTTGTATATATGCGCTTTATCTTGAAAATGTCGTAAGCGCGATTCAGGCGTTTGTCAAATATCTTGTGTTCTGTGATGGCTATCCGCCACTAAAGCTTCAAATTTGGAAAAAAAAATTATAACAAAAAAAATCTTCTTTAGCTATTTGAATGAAGAGAGTAATTAAGATCTTAAGAATGAAGAGAATAATTAAGATCTTAAGCCAAATGTCGCGTAAAACAAACACCCTTTCACCATATATAATTATTTCTATAAGAATGTCTCTTACAGCCAAGGATATGTTAAAAAAAAAGACGGAAGTTTCAATGGAGTAATTTTTTTATTACTTAGATAAATAGACTAGCTAAGATGCAAAACAGTACAAATGCTGCCCCACGCTTCGAACCGAAACGCATTACTGCTTCACGGCAATTTTAATTAAATTATAACGCGTACTTACGACGGAAAAAATAACAAACAAAACCTTAGATTAGTAATAATTTATTAGTGAGCAGCTCCAAGTTTGATGCCGTCACGATATTCTATCACAGAACACGGGATACTCGACGGATGCCAGTGTGCTTAGTGAGAGTTTTTTAACGTTCTCGATAGCGTAAAAGTTAACTCAAGTATGCAGTTGGAACAGCGCCCCCTAGCGGCAAACTTAAGCAAACGTTCCAACTCCATACAAATTACACACAATCGAGTTAACTTTTACGCTATCGAGAACGTTTAAAAAACTCGCCGTGAGCACTCTAAATCGCGCCAACGACATTATCAAAATAACCAGCTTCCAACACACAAAGCCGATAACAGTTTCGCTATTATGGCGACGGTCGACATCAGTCGCGCCTTCATTCACATACAAGATGGCGCAGTATGCTTTTTTATTTATTGCCCGTGTATACAGACAGACAAGCCCACCTGATGGTGAGTGGTTATCATCGCCCATGGACATCAGCAATGTCAGGGCTAGAACCAAGCCGCTGCTTACAGTTAAGTTAAAGTTGTATTCGAAAGAGTACTACTATAAGCCCTTTGACTGCCGTGTAGGTCACCGGTGCCCTACGCGGCGCACTGAAGTAATTATTTCTATTTCTGTTACTAAGGCGCTTGGATTAACTAACTCTTTGCCTTAATTTGTTTGTTAATGTACGTCTTAGTCTTTTAAGGTCACTTAGAAATAGATATAATTCTCAGTATCCCAGAGTCTACTACTGAGTTTCTCGCCGGATCTTCTCAGTGGGTCGCGTTTCCGATCCGGTGGTAGATTCTGCGAAGCACGGCTCTTGCTGGGGCCAGTGTTAGCAAATTAAATTTTTACTGGTGGTAGGATCTCTTGTGAGTCCGCACGGGTAGGTACCACCACCCACCCTGCCGTGATGCGTTTCGGTTTGAAGGGTGTGGCAGCCGTTGTAACTATACTGAGACCTTAGAGCTTATATCTCAAGGTGGGTGGCGCATTTACGTTGTAGACGTCTATGGGCTCCAGTAACCGCTTAACACCAGGTGAGCTGTGATCTCGTCCACCCATCTAAGCAATAAAAAAAAATTAAAAAAATCTCCCAGGTTGAGTCCGTGAGCCCACCTACGCGTTCTATGAATCCGATATGACCCCTTGAGGTTACTAGAATAGGTAGGACAAAAGAAAGAAGATACAAAAAAACACGTGTGGGCCTCGGAAGCTGCCATGGTAAAGCATTTTTTTATCAACTTATGCAATTATAATTAGACAATAATAATTTAATATTAAAACAATAATAAAATAAGACCACGCTATATTTATAAACATTAACAAAAGCAAAACATTCACTGTCCCCTTCACACTCATAAGCTAGACCGCGCGAGAGAGAGAGATGGGCAGACTTTTCATGATGCGCATGCAGTGTGACGTCACGCCGCGCGTTTATTCACAAACACTACACAAGCGCAACGTGCGAATGTGTTGAACGCGAGCTACATAGTAGGCGTAGTGGGGGTCAGGTTTTATTTTCGTTACGGAATTTCTAGATTCGGTCGTCGCGCTCAAAGCTACGCAATAGTTTAAAATATATAATTATTTCAATGCGCCGCGTAGGGCATCCGTGACCTACATAACAGTCAAAAGGATTAATTCAATCATTAGTGAACGAATGAATTATTTGAGTGAACGATTATATAATCTATATATTATACTTAATTATCTATACAGCCAATATAAGTTATATTGTTTTCAAAGTGATATATATATTTCTCGCCTGTCGAGTGAGTCAGGCCGCGCAGACCGTCGGCTCGAGGGTCGTGAGTTCGAGTTTGATGTCGTCTGACTGCAATTCAGCCACCAGATCTCGCAGCCTGAAGTCATAAAGTCATTTAATCAGCAATGTACAATTTTTTTGTATTGCTCAGATGGGTGGACGAGTTCACAGCCCACCTGGTGTTAAGTGGTTACTGGAGCCCGTGGACATCTACAACGTAAACGCGCCAACCACCTTGAGATATAAGTTCTAAGGTCTCAGTATAGTTACAACGGCTGCCCCATCCTTCAAACCAAAACGCATTACTGCTTCACGGCAGAAATAGGCAGGGTGGTGGTACCTACCCGCGCGGACTCACAAGAGGTCCTACCACCGTTGCGCTGTTAAAACTGAAACCTTAGAACTCTTAAGTTGTAGATGTCTATGGGCTCTGGTGACCACTTAACATCAGGTGGGCCGTGAGCTCGTCCACCCAGCGCGGTTCATTTGAGTGGACGTGCTCACAGGTCACTTGGTGGTGATCAGTCAAAGTCGCCCATGGACCACAGCGAAGTTAGAGACCCCGCCCGATGTTCTCTCCGGCTTGGTTACGTCTCGCATACCGTCGACCAATACTCACGCGGACAGCTGGCTCGGCGTGACGTATATCGTGTCGTCGTTGGGCCCCTGGTCCGATGCAGGGAATTTTATCGTTCCGATGTCCACCGTCTTGGGCGCGATCGCCTGGAGAGCAATGCGGTTAATCATGTAAACGCCGGCCGCACATTGTCCGACAGTTATCGTACGATAGAGACTTAAGGCAATACGACGGAAACTTAAAACGGTTCGTCTACATCTATACTAATATATAAATCTACAGGGGTTTTTACGGATGTTCCGTTATAACTACTGAACCATGCATCCGATTGACTTGAAACTTGGTATCCCTGTAGAAAATACATGTACTTAATGGATAGGCTAATATTTATATGAGTGTTGGACTCCCTAATGATAATGACAATAAATAATGATAATTATAATAATTTTAATTTTAATATTATTATTTAAAATTATTATAATTAACGAACGCGTTACACAAAAATGCAGAATGTTGTCGGATCAGCAGACAATGTCGGACAATGTGCGGCCGAAATTATTGAGATACTCTCTTTCTTTTGATAGAAACTAAACAGATGAAAAAAAATGTCAATGCACAAAATTAATCTATATCTTCAAGCATCAGTAATTAACATTAATTAGCTGATTAATACAATTATTTAATAAAATATTTTTTTCCAAATGTGTATTCGGTTAACTAGTTGACGTACCTTATAAATAAATAAATATATAAATAAATATTTACTAACAATCACGCCACGTTAACTGGTCCCGTGCTAAGTTCATAAAGAACTTGTGTTACAGGTACCAGATAACGGAAATAAATGTAAGACTTTTATTATATAAATACACATGTATATAATATACATACATAACCCTGGAAAAGACATTTTATATTTATCATACAAATATCTTCCCTTGGCGGGATTCGAACCCGCGACCCCCTTGTGTAGTGACCGTGTCACTTCTACACCAAATGGCCTTATGGTGCTAAGTGGTTCATCGAGTCCGAAAACCTCAGCACTATTGAGGCGTCCGGCAGGAGACCACGGACCACTCACCGCGGCGAGGTCCGGCGCCGGGAACTCCGCGAGGTCCGCCTCCACGCACCTCCAAGGCCGGTGCAGCAACAGCTGGCGACGCGCCTCCGCCTGCAGGGCCGACAGGCGCTCCTGGGCAACACCAGAGCATTCACTTAAATGGGCATTTTCTTTTTATTGCCCTAATAGGCAGACGAGAATACAGCCCATCTGAAGGCGAGTGGTTAACGTCGCCCATGGACTTCAGCAATGCCAGGGGCAGAGGTAAGCCGCTGCCTACCATTAAGTACTTTCCACATTGAAGAAGGACATGTCATAACGCCTCACAAACAGCGGGAAACAGCTATTCAAATGGAGTAAACACAATTAGAAACATCGAACTGTTGATGCTTTTACCGAATAAAACGGACCTTTAATTACAAAGATAAATGTACCAACCAAACATGTAATAGCTTTTCATCCCTCAACACATATTTCCACAACTAAAACCAAATCTGTTCTGTCGCGTTTTTAGTAACAAATTCCTTTATACATGTAAAGACAGTGGAAATGTTTTAGTCCCAATTTATATTTATATTGTGTTAAAATTAAAGGCATATCTATAATAGTACTATCGTCATCCTGTCCATCTATGCCACGAAGCAATGACGCGTTACGATTCAAATAGTTGAGGTCGTAACTTCGTCCCCAGCATGAGGTCCTTGATGCTTGGTGCAAGTTTTTTTAACGTTCTCGATGGCGTAAAAGTTACCTTAAAGGACATGGGCCATTTTCGGTCCAGCTACTCGTGTTCTTAAGGGCATTAATGAAATATCAATAGAAAAAAACATTTCATTTTTATTTACTTATTATAAAATTTAAGGGCATTTTAATAATGGGATAATTAAAGTCATAAATAAAAAGAAATTAGCATGACTAAGCTACATTGATAATATTGAAGGAGTTGCCATAGGCAAAATATATTAATAAATTTAAGCAATTCACATTAAATCTTCGTAAAAAAACATTATATTGCAAAAAAAACCAGCAAAATATATTAACATTTTAATTAATGGATTTTAAAATTATTTTAAAATATTATATCTAAACAAAATCTACTTTTATACTTTTAAATCTGTAGAATAAATCATTACATGGATGTTTTTATTTTTTCTTTGATGGGTGAACGAAAAATCGTGGAGCGTTCCACATTTTTAGCCCATCGTATTATGTATCACTACATAGTATAAAACAAAGTCGCTCTCTCTGTCCCTATATCTGTCTGTCCCTATGTATGCTTAAATCTTTAAAACTACGCAACGGATTTTGATGCGGTTTTTTTTAATAGATAGAGTTATTGAAGAGGAAGGTTTATATGTATAATAACATCCATTGAATAGTGGAGCAATCAATAATAAATTACAGTTTCTGAAGCGAAGCGAGAGCGGGTCGCTAGTAATATGTAAATCTACAGTGGTTTTTACGGATGTTCCGTTATAACTACTGAACCAAGCATCCGATTGACTTGAAACTTGGTATCCGTGTAGAAAATACATGTACTTAATGGGTAGGCTAATATTTATATGAGTGTTGGACTCCCTACACCAGTTGTGGGGGTGTTAATGATTTTGACCCTTTGTGGGGGTGAGAAATAAGAATGTTAATTTTAAATGCCCAGCGAAGCGGACGGGTACAGCTAGTATGTATGTATAAGTATATATTTTTTATCGATGTGAGTGTGTCGAGCACGTTGCGAACACCCCCCCCCCCCTTCATGTCACCCTGCATCCACATCACCCCTGCCCTGTGCGGCAGGGAGCTTCTGCTGGGGCAGTGGTGTAACACCGAATTGCTCATTAAAAATTCGTAGTAAGTCAATCTGGCAAATGCTCCCTCCAACAGTGCGTCTTTCGCTCCGATTCGCTTAAAAAGGCATGCATGCGCTAGTGACGACTCATTACGAAGCCGCGCCAACCAGCTACAGGAAAAGTCCTTAGAGTACGCAGATTTTTAGTACTGTATAAGAATGTTTTAACATTCAAGTCTATAAATCGTGCCCGATGTAATTTATCAGTAGGTCATTGATTTTACATATATGTTTGTTCTATAATGTATCATGAACTTATTGTGTATAATTCATACGTTATAGGGTTCCAATAGTCCCGTAAATCGTGACATTTTATATATTGGCTGGGATGGGCTGGAAGTTCCGTGTAAGGGGATACGACGACCCTTCTTGTCTTGTTGCTATAGGAAACGTTAAAAAACTCGCACTAAGCACACATGGGCATACCTCCAGACGCTGTTTCGTCTCCCGCTGCTTCTCGCGGTGTATCTGAAGGGCGCGGGCGTACTTCCCCGGCTCCGACGGGAACTGCACCAGACCAGACCGGGCCACGAACAACGTCCACTCCTGGAAGGAAACGATACGTGGCGGAGTATTTTACTGATGGTAGGATCTCTTGTGAGTCCGCGCGGGTGGGTGCCACCGCCCTGCCTATTTCTGCCGTGAAGCAGTAATGCGTTTCGGTTTAAAGGGTGGGGCAGCCGTTGTAACTATACTGAGACCTTAGAACTTATATCTCAAGGTGGGTGGCGCATTTACGTTGTAGATGTCTATGGGCTCCAGTAACCACTTAACACCAGGTAGGCTGTGAGCTCGTTCAATCATCTAAGAAAAAAGAAAAAAAAATTAAATCCACTTACAGTTTGCAATTCGTTTAGCTCCTTCTCGAGTTGGCTGGCGACCTGTCTCCTGGCCACGGCTCCCGGTGCCGTCGGATGCTCTAGAGGTCTCAGCCTCCTCAGGGTCTGTATCTCAGCCTTGCGGCACGCGGTTATACGAGCGGCCCTCTCCCTCTCCACAGTCCTGAGGAGGACCAGGCATTGACAATATAATAATGTTACGCCGGCAAGAGTATCCACGCCATCTATCACCGAATAGTCGAACGAATACCGAAGGACTTAGAACGCTCGAAAAGTACAACCCCATCTGTTGTCAGATAGCTTTTTTAAGGGATTTTATGACCTGGTAAATAAGACCTTTAAGTCATGTCTTATTTTAATTTATATTCTTAATTTTATGAAAAATTATAATATGGAGTGAAATGAAATGAAGATGATTAATTTGAGACATTAATCTGGATTGAATTGGGATGAAATGAAATGAGATGAGATGATATGGGATGAAATATAATCTCAGTAAAATGGTGGTCATTTACTGAGATTTTTTCAGTGGACTTTTTGGAGGATCCCGGGAAGTTACGTCCAGCGCCTTTGTTTCATTTTCCCACATTTGTCCACTTTCACAGATACTAAACAGTTAATAAACCACCGTTATTACACATTTAAACCCGAAGAAACACTAAATAGACAAAATAAAACAAATCACACAACTTCACTCCTCGCGTTCCCGCCAAAAAGTCCTGTCAGATAACGGGAACTAATACTAGAGATGTGTGGAATATTCTCGATAATTGTAGGGATGTCGTATCGGCTATAAAAGCGTTGTAGGGATGGCACGCAGTCAGTCAGTAATCGGATCTACGCGAAGCGAAACAGCGAACGGATCACCTGAAGCGAAGCGAAAGAAGCGAGTAGAGAGTTTTAAAGTGTTTGTGAAGTGTTTAAGTGGTTTTTTTTATTGTTTAGATGGGTAAACGAGCTCACAGCCCACCTAGTTTTAAGTGGTTACTGGAGCCCATAGACATCTACAACGTAAATGCGCCACCCACCTTGAGATATAAGTTCTTAGGTCTCAGTGTAGTTACAACGGCTGCGCCACCCTTCAAACCTAAACGCATTACTGCTTCACGGCAGAAATAAGCGGGATGGTTGTACCTACCCTTGCGGACTCACAAGAGGTCGTACCACCAGAGGTTCTAAGTGATAAATACAGTTTCTAAGTTGTACTTTGGTGAAATTTTATTTACCCCGAACCCCAGAAGCGTAACAATAACAATGCAACAGTCTAAACACGACCCTTGGAAACCGTTCTTACCAGCTGAGGACCTTCAGCTGATGCTGTAGGGCTTCGTTGACTTCGCCGGCGGCTACTCCTGGGGCGACCTTCAAGGGTGCCTCCTCTGAAATCATTCGATCAATCGATTCAAATAAAATCTATATCAATTTTATGTATACGTTAACATTTAATGTTAGAACGAGACAGCAATATTTGGTTTTCTGAAAGATTCACAAACAATAACTTTTTGGATGGATTTTAATTATACCTTATAAAGGCATAGTTAAAATTAGACTTATACTAAAAAAAAATTGACAACATAATTTTTTTTTATTACTACCCTCCAATCTGGGTTTTTTTTTCTTTTCTAACTATACTGATAGCCTTGAGAGGCTATTTCAGCTTGACCCTAACATGTAGGTGAGCTCACGGGACTCAAACCTGATCGGGAATCTGCAAGGGAATCATCGGTTATTATAGCGCTTGGGTTACGAAAAAATGCGTTTTTTTTTTATATAAAATATACGGGTACGCTAAAGAGGAAGAGATGGACGTAAGAAGAAATGTGTGGATTGCATGAAAGACGATATGTGTAAGAGGGGAGTGAGCGAAGAAATGGTATATAATAGAGGGGTATGGAAAGAGATAACAACTTCCGCCGACCCCCGATGACTGGGAGAAGGGCAGGAGAATGACGACGCGGGTATGCTGAAAACAAATGACCAAAAGTTTTTGAAGTGAAACTTCTAATGTGACTTCTAACTAGGTTGCGTTAAATGTTTAACGCTACCATGGAATAGAGAAAGACAGAGCGAGAGTGAATGCGTGGCACTCGAACGCATGCGCGTAGTATACCTGTTACAGGCCAGCGCGACCGTTAGCAACTAGTAGCGTCCAATTTAATGAAGTATTTAAAATATATATATATATATATATATATATATATATATATATCGACGCTTGAAAGACAAACATGACTGAGCGACAATGCATGAACTTTACAGTAGACTAATTTAAAGTTGTAATACCTGAAAAAAATTCTATTTTAACGAATCTAGCTGTAGGATTGAAATTATTTTAAAAGACCTAGAAATATATATTTTTTTACGCATCGAATATGGTTATTGCCTATCATTTATGTACAAAGCAGTTATTGTCGCTTAGTCACGTTTGCCTTTCAAGCGTCGATATATATATGTATTTATTTTTCTATAATTTAAAATATATATAATATAAATGTTGAAGATATCGCATCTCTTATACACAGCATTCCTTATTACAAGAGCGATCTGATTTAAGGATGAAAAATGAAGAAAACTACAATACTACACATCGAAGAAGAAGTTTCACTTCATTCACGTGCACCAAGTTGCACGAGCACCGTTTTTCATTTCTACATTCACTGTGATCAAAATTATTTTACCCGAAAATAAAAAACACAAGACAAATCTTTCAGAAAAACCAAACGAATTTAAATCAAAGCGATTAATATTTAAACTCATAACGATGAATGAATGGTATAAATGGAAACATTTAGCTTTCGACTCGGGAGTTGATTTGCGAATCGCCAGATAAATTAGCCTTGATATTAATATTACAGTTTTGTATGAATAAAAAATTATCGGTACTCTATATTATCCCAATTTATCTAATAACGGAAGTTTAAAGATAATTGTCAAATTTCGGATGTGGGTAGTTTGTTATAGACAGCGCGAGCGAACACTACGCACAGCCCCACTGAGTTTCTCGCCGGATCTTCTCAGTGGGCCGCGTTCCCGATCCGGTGGTAGATTCTGCGAAGCACGGCTCTTGCTAGGGCTAGTGTTAGCAAATCTGCCAGGTTTGAGCCCCGTGAGCCTACACGTTATATAAAGGGAGGTGAAAAGTTATTTGGTTTAAGCCACATATTAATCACACTATCGTTTAACAAGCGCCTTTTATTATTATTTTATCATTTACTGGTGGTAGGACCTCTTGTGAGTCCGCGCGGGTAGGTACCAGCACCCTGCCTATTTCTGCAGTGAAGCAGTAATGCGTTTCGGTTTGAAGGGTGGGGCAGCCGTTGTAACTATACTGAGCCCTTAGAACTTATATCTTAAGGTGGGTGGCACATTTACGTTGTAGATGCGTATGGGCTCCAGTAACCACTTAACACCAGGTGGGCTGTGAACTCATCCATCAATCTAAACAATAAAAAAATAATTACATATCCGTTTTGTTTGGTATTAGCATCAACAGTTCGATGTTTTTTAATTGAATTTCACTTTTGTTTACCCCATTCGAATAGCTAAAGAAGTCTTTTTTTGGTATGTTATGTTGACGTATGATATATCATTGATATGTTTTGATGATAGAAACTTGTTTGGTTATTGGTTTTAGCTATTTCTTTAAATATTGTATGTTTCTTTTGTACTGTTTCCCAAAAAAATAAATAAAATATTTTGTCAAATTTTCAAACTTTTTTTTTTATTGCTTAGATGGTGGACGAGCTCACAACCCACCTGGTGTTAAGTGGTTACTGGAGCCTATAGACATCTACAACGTAAATGCGCCACCCACCTTAAGATATAAGTTCTAAGGTCTCAAGTAAGTTACAACGGCTGCCCCACCCTTCAAACCGAAACGCATTACTGCTTCACGGCAGAAATAGGCAGGGTGGTGGTACCTACCCGCGCGGACTCACAAGAGGTCCTACCACCAGTAATTACGCAAACTATAATTTTGCGGGTTTCATTTTTATTACACGATGTTATTCCTTCACCGTGGAAGTCAATCGTGAACATTTGTTGAGTACGTATTTCATTAGAAAAATTGGTACCCGCCCGCGGGATTCGAACACCGGTGCATCGCTCAACACGAATGCACCGGACGTCTTATCCCTTAGGCCACGACGACTTCATATGGCTTTAAACTTTATATGGCTCCCCTGTAATGTTGCAAAAATGTCGCCTAAACCAAACCGCCCTTCATCCCTCGATATGTTTAATATTACATGCAAGGCGCGGAGATTAACGATGTTGCCTTGAATGATAATACAGCTTAACACTGTAGCCTTTATATCCTGTCCATACCGGGATATTAGAGCGAAGTTACATAATGATTATGACGTCATCGGTCCGCGACGCGTCAAGAAACTGTCAAGTTGATCAGAGGTCTTGACTTTTACAAGACGGTAGGGCGTTGTGCGAGAAGTTTCGATACATCAAATCCTAATCACGATTTTTAGGCAACACCGCCAACTCCGTTTGCCTTTAATAAATAAAAATAAGAAAAGATAACTCGTTTGCCGCCACCGAATCAAATAAATTCCGTGGCGGGTTGTTTAAAAAAAAAACGGAACGAAACATATCATTCAGCATCTACGAAATTATTCAATCTTGGTAACGGATACCAGACTATTAAAAAAGAAAAAACATGATAAACAGAAAGTGAATTTACGAATATTTTTTGAAAGAAATTTCTAAAATTCAAAACAAAAAACGTAATTAATGAATTAAATTATGTCATTAAATAATCTTACGGGTTATCTCTTGGGAGGCGGCCGCCGGAGCCGCGACAGCTACAACGTGACAGAAGACGTCAGTTTGACAGGTCAATTTACGTCAATGTCAAATGTTACGTGTGAATGCGTGAACGTTTTTTTTAAATGCCTTCCATTTTTTTTTGTTTTAAGTTATTGAAACACAACTCTTTAAAACATTATAACTTTTTTTTGTTTTTCTCAGAAACTTTGTATGCATTGGTCATGTTTTCTGAAACTTCGAACCTCCATTCGAAGCTAAGCAGTCATGAGTTTTTACTCTTTTTTTTTATTGCCCTTGTAGGCAGACGAGCATACGGCCCACATGTTGGTGAGTGGTTACCGTCGCCCATGGAGTTCAGCAATGCCAGGGGCAGAGCCAAGCCGCTGCCTACCGTGACTTCTTAGTGCCGTTATGGTTATGCCGTTAGTGATTAGAAACTCATGACTGCTTAACGGTAGAAATGAGCAAGAGGAATGATACAAGCCGACAGAGGACCAACTCTGCGACCACCAAAGAAAATCTTGACTTCGGATCCAGAGAATTTTCCATCAATGAAATATATAGGGTGTTTTTTTTAAAAGAAATAGACCAAAATGTTCACGCATTCCTAACACCAAATAGAGCATCAAATGCCAAAATAGAGGCATGTTATTCACATAGTACAGCCAGTGCATTGCAAATTAATAGAATTTAAAAAAAAAGAACATAAAAAGCGGATGTTAAAGTTTTTTTTTAATACTTGAAGCAGTAGGTTATCTTCATGAGATCAACATTGACATTAATTATGACGTTTTAAAGATGGAATGAGTGAGAGCGTGCGACGGAGACAGCATATATCTAGCTGTCTCTATCGCTCGTGCCACAGTGACGTCACAGACAGTTAATAACATTTTATCTTTGTTACATCACAATTACCATTACCTAATTAAAGTTGTTACGACACATTAATTCCTAACTCTCTTGTTTTAATCTGCCTTAGGATGCGTACGTTAAAAACATGTTGTTAAACATAAGAGAACGAAATAAAAAAAAGCATGCTATTTTTTTTTTTGTTTTTTTTTTGTCTACAACAATGCTTCCTTACGTGAATAGTCTCTGGTCGGAGCGACAGGCGGCGCCACGGCTGCACGCCAGAACACACACACACACACACAAAAATACGTCATAAAAAATATATTCGTTATATTCAAGATAAAGCTTTTGGATTAACAATGACAAAGAAATGAATAAATAGTATCTTAGATTGTTGTCGTGCGAGCAAGTATTTTTTGTATTGCAAGTAGTTGTATTAAAGTTAATTATTATTTCACTACCATATATATTGAAAATCTTATTAATTATGCAATATTTTCTTCTTTTTTTTAAATATTAAAATAACTTATTTTTTTTAAAAACATTACATAAAAAAATTGATTACCACTGATGAGTGTCTTTATTATTATTATTAAAGAAAACTTAATTAAATAAAAAAAAACACTTTCTTTTGTATCAATCTATGGAACAGACTCAACCAGTTTGTCCTTGTGGTAGCCCTAAATTACCATTCCCCTTACATTCCTCGGACTAAGGTCAGTAATGGCGTTTGGGGGGATTAGAAGGGGAGATAAGGGTAATGTAGGAACCCCCTCCCCCCGCATTTCAACGAGGGGACGGCAGTTACAAGCAACTAAGACTTAGACCTCAAGCCGAGAACTCTTTCACTTGCCTTCTACCAACTGGAAAAGCAAGTATGAGTCACGTAGCCAGTGAGTGACCATGATTTTAGGCAGGATTTGATTTTGAGATCTTTAAATTTACTGTGTCCATGATTCAACGAACAAACATATTTTACATTCACCTTGATTTGTTTTTGATAATTATAAAAATTGCGAAATCCGTACGATTACAAGGAAGCAAAAGTTTGGATAACTTATTCAGCGTTAATACGATAACCGACCTTATACTTGGAGATTTAAGATTCAAAATATTTCGTGTGAATCTCGATGACCGTTTACGGGACAACGTATTATCACCTCTATTACTAGTGCGTTAAGAGCGTAATTCCAATGCAACTGACCGTGATGTCCGCCGCCCCTCTTGGCGTAAAGCTTCAGCTTATCCCTCAGAGCGCCACGTTCGTTCTCCAGCGAATCTATATCGTGTTGAAGATGATCCATGGTTTCCTCGTACTCTTTCTCTTTCCTGGAATTCAAAATGGATAGACTCTAGAATCGTTCCACTCGATGGATGGACGAGCTCACAGCCCACAAGTGGTTACCGGAGCCCATAGACATCTACAATGTAAATGCGCCTCCCACCTTGAGATATGAGTTCTAAGGACTCAGTATAGTTACAACGGCTGCCCCGCCCTTCAAAACGCGTTACTGTTTCACGGCAGAAATAGGCAGGGCGGTGGTACCTACCCGTGCGGACTCCCAACACTTCCTACCACCAGTATGTATTAATTTGAGAGTGTGAGACGGTCATCTATACACATACATAGGTAGCCCTCTTTATAACACGGTAGCTACGTTCCTACAAAGACGCGTGTTATGCGAAACCGTGTTATATGAGACCAGAAGACAGTACAAAAAGGACGAGTAATATTTCTGAATGAAACATCTCCTATGCTTGTATGTATTTTGTTTACCTATTATACATTAAAGATAAGCAGTAAAATTTCAGTTATTCCCATATATATTGTGTGTTCGTAGTGCAAAATGTTATTTTTCTAAAGAGTTTTAAACCAAAATCTCGTTATCGTGTTGTAGTAAGACCGTGTTATGAGAGGATTTTAGGGATTTTTTGAAGTGAAAACTTCTTTAGAATCGTTGTGATTTCAAACCGGATGCAACGGAAAAAACGACAGGTTAGAGACACAAATACAAAAATGTGTAGGATGAAGCCAGCAAAGAATGAGACAGAAATATACATACTATTTAAAACAGCGCCATCTGTGAGATTTTTTAATACTAACGTGTGTATGAAAGCTCTTGTAGTGAATTTTAATTTAGGATTATACGTGAAATTAAAATATCAATTCACAGAGGGCGCTACCTTACAATTATTTACTAATGACAAAATTTTACATATACTTAAGACGTTTAGGATAATTGTATTTTAATTTTGGAAGGTTTCACTTCTACCACGTGTGAATTGCACACATGTTTTTTTTTCTTTTCGTATTTGAGTGGAACCGTGTTGTGAGACACCGCGTTATAGAATTGTTACTTGTATATATCATGTATCACGATGTTTGTCCGGAATGAACCCCGAAACTAATCATCCGATTTAAAAAAAATTCTTCTTCAAAATGTCTGGTTCGTTCCAGTTTAAGAGATAGGATGGTTTTTATTCCAATAAATGGTAAAGGGTTACAACTACCCGTGCTCCTAACATAGCTTAGCTCTATAACTTACTAACAGATGACGATGTTTTTTTATTTATTGCTCAGATGGGTGGACAAGCTCACGACTCATTTAGTGTTGAGTGGTCGCCCGGTAGATCAGTTTATCGACATCATTCTCTAGTTTGCGAGTTAAATGAGTATCTCATAGAGGGCGCTACGCGTTTAAATAATGATCAATGCGTTTGTCCCCTATGCGTCCGTGAGCTGATGATACGATTGTGGTGGAATTTGATATATTTAAGCCTTCGTCAAACAGAACGCGTACTTAGCGCCGCGTACTTAACGTCGCGCTCTTCAAATTGACTAGATGAGCCTAACGCTCCTTGACGCAACGCATTCGCCAAATCATAGTGCCTTTCGGTAGCAGTGTGAAAATTTAAAAGTATTAAGAAATCGAGTGATTCAGATGTGGCATTGTATATGCATGGGTATTTTCTAACTATTTATATCATTTTTTCGGGCATTATCTAGTATTTTAATACACATTCACTCGAACGCTAAAATAAAATTACAACGCCTGACGTCAAAGCGTCCTAACGCCGCGACAGAGAGCTGCGTACTTTTAGCGCTGGGACTCTGTTTGACGGTATGTTACCATAGCAGTACAACACAGCTCGGCGTTATAGCGCGGCGTCAGTTTATCGCTCTCACGCGCGCTAATTACGCGTTCTGTTTGACGAAGCCTTTATTCAGTGACATACCTGTCTTAGTACCATCAGCTTGCGATAGATGGCGCGCGAATAGTTTAAAGAAATCGATATTGCTCGAAGAAGTTGCTCGCTCCGGGCATTTCAATATTGCAATAATTGTGACATTGTCATTGTAAAAATGAATATGTATTTAAAAGAAAAAAGTTATGCCCGCTGAGTTTCTTGCCAGTTCTTCTCAGGACGGAGGCTAATTCTTGTGAATTGGCGGTAATTCTTTTGACGTTCAACAAGTGTGTACTTTCATTTATGTTGAATAATTTTTTTTTGATTTGATTTGATTTGTTGGTTTTCACACAATTAGCTATGATCACAGGGGAGCGCGGCCAGGACTACTAATTCCAATTCCATTGCCACGTCAGCATGGCCCACCTTCTCAATTGATTCTGAGCGTCCTCCAGCTTCCTCTGCAGCTGCTGAGAGCGCAGCTCCGCGTCCCTGGCCGCCGTCGTCAGCTTCCTCTCGCCCAGCTCTTTCCGGATCTGCATCTCGGAGACTTCCTCCTGCTTGGCCTGGAACGTGGTAACATTGAACGAATGAGACCTACTGGTGGTAGGACGTATTGTGAGTCCACATGGGCAGGTACCACCGCCCTGCCTATTTCTGCCGTGAACAGTAATGCATTTCGGTTTGAAGGGTGGGGCAGCCGTTGTAACTATACTGAGACCTTAGAACTTATATCTCTAGGTGGGTGGCGCATTTACGTTCGGATGTCTATGGGTTCCAGTAACCACTTAAACAGTACGTGGGCTGTGAGCTCGTCCACCCATATAAACAATAAAAAAATAATTACATATCCGTTTTGTTTGGTATTAACATCAACAGTTCGATGTTTTTTAGTTGAACTTCACTTTTGTTTACCCCATTCGAATAGCTAAAGAAGCCTTTTTTTTTTGTATGTTAAGTTGACGTATGATATATCATTGATATGTAATAAAACATTATCTATTACAAGCGGCCCGCTCCGGCTTCGCTCGGGTCTTTAACAAAAATTTCAACGATATTTGACGTTGTTTTATTTTTTTTTAATAAAAGAACACTTATTGCGGCATAACTATAATAGTTAGACATATGCTGTCGCGACACTTTTTGTAAATAATAATGTGTTCTACAAAGTCGTAGTGCATTATTTTATTCTATCATCAATAGTTTTCGCAGGGCACGCGATATAAAGAATATTTTAGGTAATTTTTTTACACCTTGGGTTGCGTTATTGAAGTTTTAGTAAGGATCCCTATTTTTCTTCAAAAAAGATTATAGCCTATGTTACTCGGGAATAGTGTAGCTTCCAAACAGTGAAAGAATTATTCAAATCGGTTGAGTAGTTTCGGAGCCTATTCAATACAAACAAACAAACAAATCTTTCCTCTTTATAATATTAGTATAGATAGGCAATAAAAAAAAAATAGCTCACCTTCAGAGCTTTCCGGAGTTCTTTAATATCGGCTTCCTTGTTCTCCAGTTTTATTGTCAGGATCTTGGTTTCCTCGAGCTGCTTCTTCACCAGCTGCGCTCTGATGACCACCGGCGGTGTTGGCTGTGGATTTTATTGAAGTTATACTTCTTTAGGCGCGTTATGAAAAAAATTGATGAGAGTGAAATTTGACGATGCGCGCGCACCGTGACACAAAATTAACAGAATGAAGTTGCCCACTAAATCGCTCATTACAATACGACCGACGTAACTTGGCGAGTCTGAATATAGCCGCAGGTTAACTTTCCGAACCGTACCGAGAATTACCGAATTTATACGATGTCAAGAAAAGGGATGTCCAATATGCGTGTTTGAGGATGTTGTTTAATCGATTTTTTTTTCAAATTGATTAAAATTTAAATAAAATAAAAAAAGGAATAAATTTAATAAAAATAAAGTATAACTTCTTACGCGCGTACATAAGTACACGCACCTTTTTTTTATTATTGCTTAGATTTTTATGGCCTAGGGGTAGAGGTCCCAAACGATGGTCGGACCAAATAACGGAGGAGTTGGGGGTGCCTGTCAGCGACGCACTCCACCGAGCTACAGAATGGGATCGATGGAGACAGCTGGTTGAAGGAATCGGACGGAGTCACGATCCTCAGCAGTGAGGGACCGATCGAAGAGAGAGAGAGAGATGGATAGACGAGCTCACAGCACATCGGGTGTTAAATGATTACTGGAGCCCATAGACATCTATAACGTAAATGTGCCACCCACCATGAGATAAGAGTTAAAAGGACTCAGTATAGTTACAACGGCTGCCCCGCCTTTCAAATCGAAACACATTACTGCTTCACGGCAGAAATAGACAAGGCGGTGGTTCCTACCTGTGCTACCTACCACCAGTAATTACGCAAATTATAATTTTGCGGGTTTGATTTTTATTACACAACGTTGTTCCTGCACCGTGGAAATCAATCGTGAGCATTTGTTAAGGTACGTAAGATTTCATTAGAAAAATTGGTACCCGCCTGCGGGATTCGAACACCGGTGCATCGCTACACACGAATGCACCAGACGTCTTATCCTTTAGGCCGCGACGACTTCAAACTACGTACTCACCTTCTCAGTGGCAACGTTGGTTAAGGACATCATATCGTATTCCTTGTCTTGAGCGAACGCGGCCAGTTTGTTGACGTCCACCGTGACCTGCGCCAAGGATTGCTTGATGATCTTCACCACGCTGTGGTCGTCCTGTGGGGACCGGAGACGAGATAAATAACATGCAAGTGGTCCTATTGTGATTGACGATTGGTAGGACCTCTTGTGAGTCCGCACGGGTAGGTACCACCGCCCTGCCTATTTCTGCCGTGAAGCAGTAATGCGTTTCGGTTTGAAGGGTGGGACTGCCGTTGTAACTATACTGAGACCTTAGAACAAGGTGGTGGTATATCTCAAGGTGGTTGGCAAAAAAAGAAAAAACCATGGCGATGATCATCTTGAGACATTGTATTGGCATACCAGCTATGTAGGCGTGGCGGACAGAGCTGTACCCCTCTACGCTGACGAGGAAGGAGTAATTAAGGGGAAGATGTCATGTTGGAAGTTAAAATGAGCAACACAAACTGATCTCTAATACTGCGCAGGCGCTATGTCCCCGAAGTGGGTCTTAGATAATAAACGCCACAATTCATCGCGACGCTGCGCTACACCTGGCCAATCCGGCATTTAGAGTCTTTTTTATTTTATTGCTTAGATGGGTGGACGAGCTCACAGCCTACCTAGTGTTAAGTGGTTATTGGAGCCCATAGACATTTACAACGTAAATGCGCCACTCCCCTTGATATATAAGTTCTAAGGTCTCAGTATAGTTACAACGGCTGCCACGACCTTCAAACCGAAACGCATTACTGCTTCACGGCAGATATAGGCGGAGTGGTGGGACCTACCCGTGCGGTCTCACAAGAGGTCCACCAGTAAGCTTAGGCCACTTTTGCGCTGACAGCTTCAATTAGTGGGGGGCCGTGCGTGTACCTGCTGGTAGAGCTTGTAGACAGCCTTGGTCCATATGGCGGCGAGGGCCTGGTGGGGCAGCGGCGCGCCCTCGGCCTGCGCCCCCGCGCTCTCGGCCGCGGTGGCCGCCGCCCGAGCCGCCAGCGAGCACGCCCGACTGCAGCGCCACAGCACCGGCCCGCATTCCTCGCGGAGGCTCTCCACCAGCTGGAGCAAGACACAACTTAATTAGATACACTACAGTACAATTGCTTTCGGATCAGATTATCGGTTATGATTTTTGATGTGAAACATCTATAGCCGCACGTAAAACCGATTTCTAGTGTGGCGACGCATGCCGTGGCGACGCGTCGCCATGCGCAATCGACTGTGCGATTCTCTCCCACTCGATCCGGCGTTAGGCCATCTCTCTCGCTACACTGAGCTCGGATACCTATAGTGTATACTCCGTAGTGTATACAGTGTTGTTTACTACAGTACACATCACCTGTGTTTTACTTGAAAACAAATAATTTTTTCGTAATATTTTATTTTATCATTATGACATATTTAGTTCCTATCACAATCTGTTCTTTTCTGCACATTACTTTTACAAAACAATGTCAATGTTTCACATCTGCCAGGCGTCCCGCGACGGTTCTATTTTTTTTTTTTTTTTTTTTTTTTTTTTTAATAAAAAAAAAAAAAAAAAAAAAAAAAAAAAAAAAAAAAAAAAAAATATCGTTTTTTCGCATTAAAAATGTACAATTTCCACAAATATTCGAAATTGAGTTAATATGCGGAATCATTTCGTATCACCAGTATTTTTCTCATAAATAATGTCAAAAAAGTGTAGCCGAGTTTTTTTTTTTTTTAAGTTTACCTATGTTTTGACTACTATTAACAAAATTAATACATAATTTTATCTTACTTTAAAATACAAATAATGTAACTGGTAAAAAATAAAAAATAAACGTTGCAAAGTTGATTAACATTAAAAATATCACATGTTAAGCCTTTAAAGGCCATGACCACGACCCTCAGTAATGAGGAAACTGATGCAAGGAGGAGAAGCCTTTAAAACACTCCGGTAAAATTAGTAAGTTTTGAGATTATACAATTTTAATGCGAGAAGACGAAATGTGCGGCCATATTTGAGATGAGATTTTTTTGGTTAAATTATTATTAAGTAACGGTCTATCTAGAGATGATAGACGAGACAGATTCGTCCGCGGCCACCGATATCAGTATTCACGAGTCGAAGATATATAATGACAAACACGAGTCCAGATGAGGATGTTTTAACCAAACGGATAAGACTCAAAGGACCTACAAGGACATCCTTTAAATAACCGCTAATAGCGATCAAATGATAGTCTTAATATTTCTATCTATCTTTCTATTGTTTTTCTATCAATATCTGACCGCCATATTTTATTGCTCTCAACAAATGAGCGAGCTCACAGCCAATCTAGTGTTCGATGGTCACTGGGGCTCATCGATGCAACAACGTTGAGACATGAGGTTTGTTCTCGGAAATATTTTTGTTTAGGCTTAGCCTTATGAGCAATCCCTAGCGGTGAATACCCCTTTTTTCTTTCTTTTTTTTCTTTTTTTTTTCGGGCCGGGGGCCGAACCTTTTAGGAGGTCTCCGCGCCTAAGCGGTGAATACCCCTGACACTGCCAATGTCATGACAGTCTGCATGTAGCTCATTGCACACACGGTCCCCACCTTCGGGTCGATGTTGACGGCCTGCAGACTGGCCCCGGGAGGCAGGCGCCGCTTAATGCCCTTGAGCTGCTGCTGCAGCGCGTTGGCGCTCGCGTAGATGTCCGCGTGCAGCGACCCCAGCTCCAACTCCCTGTCGGACTCCTGAACGCAAGCACAACGATACCTTAGAGTCGGATAACCTAAAAACGTTATCGATTTTTTTATCGATAACATTATCGATTAGCGCTGTGTCATTTAACAGGTTTTTACCATCGCATTTAATTAGACATTAGATATGGATTATACATCGAGGGGTAAAAGGCTGTTTGGTTTGAGCGACATTTTTGCAACATTACAAAAGAGAACGACTTAAATTATATTAAAATTTGAAAAAAAATTCATAACATAAAAAAACTTTTCGACAATTCGAATGGGTTTAAAATTAAAATTAAAGTTCAATTAAACACATCGAATTGTTGATGATGCTAATACCAAATATAACACATATTTAATTACAAAGATAAATGTCGCGTAGTAAGCGTAATGTCGCTTACACTAAAAAGTCTTTCACCACTTGATATATTATTATGCAGTGAAATCGAATGTAGTATTCGATTTAGGAAAAAAAAAACGAAGCTACTCAATGTAGACCGGGGTGAGTCATCAAGTTCGAGTCGTACTAATACTACGACTAGTTCGAGTAATACTAGTTTGGGAATGGGGATGATATTGCTCACCGAGCGGGTGATATTGCTTGGTAGACCGACGATCCTAATGTTGTTGTTCGGAACTTGTATATGTGCAAGCTTATCTTGAAAATATCGTAAGCGAGATTCAGGCTTCTGTCAATTATTTTGCGTTGTATGATGCCTACCCGCCACACTAGTATCACCCAAAAACGTACTAGGAAGAGGGTAGACAGTTTTTGTCTATTTAATGTTTCTTCAGGTTTAAATGTGTAATAACGGTGGTTTATTAATTGTTCAATATCTGTGAAAGCACACAAATGTGGGAAAATTAAACAAAGCCACTTGACGTAACTTCTCGGGATCCACCAAAAAGTCCACTGAAAAAGTCTCAGTAAATAATCACCATTTTACTGAGATTATATTTCATCCCACATCATCTCATTTAATTTAATTTCATCTCAGTTGATTAATGTCTCAAATTAATTATTTTCATTTCATTTCACTCCATATCATTTTTCATAAAAATAAGAATGTAAATTATAATAAGACTTGACCTAAAGGTCTTAGTTATCAGGTCATGTAATGTCTTGAAAAAAATTGTATTATGTCAAAGCGGCCACGATAGCGTGCCGATAGAATAATGGTTCTATATTAATCAGGCCGCTTGACCCGGTCCCTGCGGCGGGAGGGAGAGGAGGGTTGGGGTGGTCACCTTCAGTATGTGCTTGAGGGCGGAGGCGTCGGCGGCGAGCGCGCGCGCCAGGGCGTCCAGCGCGGCCACGGTGTGCAGCAGCGGCTCCCGCGCCGGCCCGTCGCGCAGCCCCAGCGCGCCCCACATCGCCGACAGGTAGCTCCACGCACGCTCCAGCCCTGCCCGCCGACACACAACCTTGTTACAACCAGCACGAGTAGGTGGGCTCACGGGCTCAACCTGAGCTCACAGCCCACCTGGTGTTAAGTGGTTACTGGAGCCCATAGACATCTACAATGTAAATGCGCCACTCCCCTTGATATATAAGTTCTAAGGTCTCGGTATAGTTACAACGGCTTCCTCACCCTTCGAACCGAAACGCATTACTGCTTCACGGCAGAAATAGGCGGGGTGGTGGTACCTACCAGTGCGGACTCACAAGAGATCCTACCACCAGTTTTTACCATCGCACCGCCCGCCACCGGAGTAGAGTTCATCCATACTACCTGGAGCCACTGCGGTCATCCACAGTGCGTTTCCAGAGGTCTTTTTTGCCACGTACCATCCGGCTTCCCCTCCACGGTGTTTCCCGAGCGCTATGACATGTCCTTCTTCAAAGGAGGCTTGTGGAGAGTATTAAGCAGTAGGCAGCGGCTTGGCTCTGCCCCTGGCATTGCTGAAGTCCATGGGCGACGGTAACCACTCACTATTAGGTCATCTGCTCGTCTGCCCAAAATAAGGAGAGCCGAAGACACAGGTCAAGTGGGGTAAATGAAGAGAGACCTATATCCAGCAGTGGATCAACCACTCTGTGACCCAACCAACTGACCGTCCAGAGCGCAGTTCTCGTCCAGCTCGTTGTACTTCAAGAAGTGGATGTAGGCGTCGAGCATCTTCTCCTGCTGGAGGGCGTCGGGCAGGGCGCTGGCGCAGCGCAGCAGGACCTCCGGAGAGCACGTCTCCAGAGCCGTTATCCACATGCTGACGATACCCTGGTGAGAAATTTGTAGTAGTAACGTACTACGCTAATTTGTGAAAGGGACAACGCTCTACAAAGCCGGAATCAGCCGAACGTCTCTTTCTAAAGTAAGGCCAACCAGACGAGATAAAAAATGTAAACAAAGTTTCAGGAGTAAAAAACATTTTTATTTAAATGAATTATTACAAAGTTCGAATTTTAATCGCTGTCATCCGTACTAGACAAATATGATTCGTCGGAAGAGTCCGAGTCAGCTGTGTTTATGATAAAACTATCTATTGTATTATCAATCATGTTGTCAATATTGCTATAAAAGTATATATATATATATATATATATATATCACTTCGAACGCAATCCAAACAGGAATGAACTTGTTCACAAAATGGCGGACCAAACGTTGACAGCTGCGGTACTCAGTGCTTTCCTGTACCACGAAACACACAACGACAGCTGTTGTCGACCAACTGACGCCATAGTTGCGCGTGCGAGCGATAAGGACGGAGATAATAATCCGTCGCTATCGCAATGTAACTCAGTAACGGTCCGATTGTTTACGTTTATTATCTCGTCTGGTTGGCCTAAGTTTAGAGGTCGATGTGCATTATTTCTTGTCCAGTACTGTACATACGTTTTTTTTTTTTTTTTTTTCCTACCTAAGCTGATAGCCCTAGCGGCTATGTCAGCGTAACCCTAACTTTAGTAGGTGAGCTCACGGGGCTCTAACCTGGTGACGTTGCTAACACGAACCCTAGCAAGAGCCGTGCTTCGCAGAATCTACCACCGGATCGGAAACGCGACCCACTGAGAAGATTTGGCGAGAAACTCAGTGGGCTGTGTCTGGGAGTTAATTTACTCGTCGAGCCCTTCGTCGCAAGCGACGGGTTCGACGAGAACGGTGACCGGTTGTACATACGTATGAAGCTAATAAAAGCGTATTATTAAAAAAAGCATTGATGACGTCAACCGTGTATCTACCTATGTACCTGTATCATGTGCAACTGGTATTCGAGTTGACACCTGAAGCTGTACTGGACCGCGGTGTGAGTCTTCGTGACCACCTCGCGGTCCCACACGTTCACCGCTGGGAATCTGAAATAAAGAATTATCTATACTTAATATTATAAAGCTGAAGAGTTTGTTTGTTTGAACGCGCTAATCTCACGAACTACTGGTCCGATTTATTGAGGAAGACTATAGGCTATATAACATCACGCTAAGACTAATAAAAGCGGAGCACTAATAAGGAATGTTTCAAAATCGGGTTTTTTTTTCCCCTTTTGAGAGCTTCCGCTGCGTGCGCTGCGGAAACGGTTAAAGTTTCGCTAAAATAATGTATGACAGAATTGTTCCCCTTTAAAAGATCTCAAAAAAAGTCCGCGACAGCATATGTCTATATGTTAAGGTTGGCTCACTATAACGTTTTTTATGCTAACCAAATTTGTTCTAAAATAAAGCATTATTTGTGAACTATTCCACGCGCACGAAGTCGCGGGCAAAAGCTAGTTAAGAGATACAATAGCAATAACCTTCACATTGAATTTATTATTCAAACACAACATGCGTTAACTGGTCAAAGGAGTCCATGGGCATCTACCTTCACAAAGTCGCGGTTTCAATTATTTATTTTTAGATGGGTGGACGAGCTCACAGCCCACCTGGTGTTAAGTGGTTACTGGAGCCCATAGACATCTACGACGTAGATGCGCCACATCATTGTTATTGTCAAACAAATATCTTGTGTTCTTTGACGGTTAGCACCACACAATCTCCCCTGGATTAATTAATGTCTGGTAGTAAGTAGTTCTTTCTTTCTGATCGTTCCCTCAATGCTGAGGAGGATCGGGACTGTATGTCAATCTTCTCCACTCAGTCCGGTTCCGCACCACATGTATACCGCTCCCTGTAAGTAGTATGCAAGAACATGAACCGACCTCTCCCTGATTGGTCCTAATATGATCTCCGCCTTCGTGTGCAGCCTCTGTAGCAGCAGTATCAGAAGGATGGCGTCGTGGTCGCCTGGAAACAGAGAAAAAGTACCATCAATCACCACCGCCTAGACTGAAAAGAGCCCAGCTAGAACCTAGAGCGTTTACCCTCGCAAAGTTTTTACTGGTGGTAGGACCTCGTGTGAGTCCGCATGGATAGGTTTAAATGTGTAATAACTGTGGTTTATTAACTGTTTAACATCTGTGAAAGTGCACAAATGTGGGAAAATGAAACAAAGACGCTGGACGTAACTTCTCGGGATCCTCCAAAAAGTCCACTGAAAAAATCTCAGTAAATGACCACTATTTTACTGAGATTATATTTCATCGCATATCGTCTCATTTGTAAATTTAATTCATTTTTAATAATTTATGTTATGTCGCGATTAGTTTCCTTCGTTTTTTTTATTATTCATAAACTGTAAATAATTAAAACGGCGAATTATAAAAATCTTACTGCTGGTAGGAACTCTTGTGAGTGCGCACGTGTAGGCACCACCACCCTGCCTATTTCTGCTGTGAAGCAGTAATGCGTTTCGGTTTCAAGGGCGGGGCAGCCGTTGTAACTATACTGAGACCTTAGAACTTATATCTCAAGGTGGGTGGCGCATTTATACTGTAGATGTCTATGGGCTCCGGTAACCACTTAACACCAGGTGTGAGCTGTGAGCTCGTCTACCCATCGAAGCAATAAAAATAAAATAAAAAATTGTCGTTTAAACGTATTTAGTAAGCCCGCAATGTATCGCTAAGGTAGTTGACGTGCGCTAAATTTGATAGCATTACATTGATTCGCCAGAATTTTTTTTTCGTTGTTCTATTAAAAAATTGTTAGACTCCACACCCTGTATATGACACCCCTGTGCAGTTGTCGTCACCCAGTGTTCCCAACTACACTGTAAGCTGCCTGTGCACCGGAGCAGAGTAACGGAGTAATATTAACCAATAAGATTTCACAAAATCAAAATCATAAAATTCGAGCATTTTCATATTTATCTACCTTTTAAACCTTCTCTGGACTTCCACAAATAATTCAAGGCAAAAATTAGCCAAATCGGTCCAGCCGCCGGCCGCCAGCAAAATAAACATGGCGCGTAACGGAAGAAATTAAGATGGCGCGTAACCGAAAAACGTTACATACATGTTTTCCTCCCTACGTCTACGTATAAAGAAGTTTCACTTCAATAAGACATGACTTAAAGGTCTCAGTTACCAGGTCATAAAATCCCTTAAAAAAATATGTCTAGTTGAGAGCACTGTTGTCACCTGAGGGCTGCATGAAGTGGTCCGGGAGGCAGGCGGCCAGCATGTCGGCCCGGGCGCCCGCCTGCGCCAGGTCGAGGGCCCGCAGGCGCAGGTCCACGCTGCGGGTGCAGGCGCGCGACGCCGCCATCAGGGACGTGAGCTCGGCCGGGGGGGAGCGGGGGGGAGCCTCCCCTCCCTCCCCGTTGCTCTCGCTCTCCGGCCGGGGGCGGAGCGATTCCGACTCTGCAATTTATTACATTATTGAAATCACCTACTATAAATTAAAATACGATACCAAGCCAATGAGTGCGAGCCGTCGATAAATCGACTCTTTGTATGCGAATAAAGCGCGGAGCGTCGAAATACCGACTATTACGCAATTTGATTATAAATAACCTGTACGGGTATCTTAGCCCGCGCACGTATAACGTTTTTAATAAGTTAAGAACATTCATAAATAACCCTTTAAAATTATTTTGCTGCTAATTTAGAGTATTGATTTTTGTTTAATTTTTTTTCAGTTAGAAACTTTTTAATAAGGTACTTTTTTCTACAAAAAGCCTTTAGCAATTTCCGTAAAATATGTGCAAATAAATTACAACATTTCCGCTTTCTCCCGTCTCCCATTATATACCCAAATGGCCTATTAGAATAAAGCAATACTTCCTCAATTGTTTCACAATCTATGCATTAATACGTGAAGCAAAAACTTTGTACCCCTTTTTACGAAAATTGCGCGGACGGAGTACTATGAAATTTCCCACACTTATAGAGAGTATAGAGAAAAAGTGCAGAATGCAAATTTTTTTTTTTTGTTATACATAAAAAATACATTAAATCAACATTAAACACACTACCATGTATTTGACATTCACGCGCATGCATACTATTTGTTTATTGTCAAACTTTTCTTATTGCTTACTCTGTGGTTAAATTGAGAATAGATTGAACATGGACTTTTTGGCGGGAACGCGAGGAGTGAAGTTGTGTGATTTGTTTTATTTTGTCTATTTAGTGTTTCTTCAGGTTTAAATGTGTAATAATAGTGGTTTATTAACTGTTTAATATCTGTGAAAGCGCACAAATGTGGGAAAATGAAACAAAGCCGCTGGACGTAACTTCTCGGGATCCTCCAAAAAGTCCACTGAAAAAATCTTAGTAAATGACCACCATTTTACTGAGATTATATTTCATCCCATATCGTCTCATTTAATTTCATCCCAGTTGATTAATGTCTCAAATTAATCATCTTTATTTCATTTCACTCCATAATATCATTTTTCATAAAAATATGAATATACATTAAAATAAGACGTGACTTAAAGGTCTCAGTTACCAGGTCATAAATTCCCTTAAAAAAATAATAGATTGAACATTGTTTGTCTTTATTATTATTTGTCTAAAGTGTACACAATCTTAGCGAAATCTGTGATTATAGAAGTATAATATATTTGACAATAGAATCATAATTGTGTACAAACTTATAATTTCAATTAATTATAGTCTGATTTCGACTACCGGGGGACCACTAGTTGATATTATTGGCCGTTTTCCAATTACAGCACAAGAGCGCATTATGCGGCATAATGCTCAACTAAGCTTCAGCATAATTCGGCATTGTGCGTCACTGACTCGCATTATGCTCTGTAATTGGAAAACGGCCATTTATTGCCTTAATTAACCACAGAAAGTCTAACCTCCGACACCTTTTTTGACAACCAACTGACATTGACATCATAAGTAAATCAACTAAACTAAACTATTCCGATTTTTTTTTTTCTTTTATTGCCTTCGTAGGCAGACCTCAGTTCTTGTAGGCAGACGAGCATACGGCACACCTGATGGTGAGTGGTTACCGTCACTCATGCACGTCAGCAATGCCAGGGGCAGAGTCAAGTCGCTACCTACAAGTTTAATGATATATCGGCGCAACGTCACTATTTAGTTAACTAAAAATAGTTAAAGTTAACTGTTTCCTTAATGTTACGCATGTCAACAACTATTTAGGACGGTATTCAAGAGAATTCATGACTGAGCTACCCCCACTATACAAGTGACTATTGTCGCACAAAACAGTCCGACTCGAGCAGCCGAACCGAGCGGAGCTCTCTGTTGTTATCGCTGTACACTTAAAATGTAATAAATAGAATTCATTAGAAAAGTGAGTCTTAATTACTGTCACTATGTAAGGCAATGATAATGATGAAAATAATGGCGTCAACAACGCTGATGTCATTATTTAAAAAACACCCTGTAACTAGCCTCTCCGTCAGATACAATTAATTATATACGTATTTTTAAGTACGCATTTAACGTTTTTATTCAGTGCATAACGGACATGCATATTATAGGGATGTAACTGCAATTATTAACACAGATCCTACAATAATATCTCAATAGGGAGACGAATTTATTAATATATTCCTTTTAATACTTTTATAAACTATTATATGTATCTATGTATGTATTTATGTATGTATATACGTATGTATGAATGTGTTGCAGGTATATGTGATTGTGTATATATGTATGCATATACTTTTTTTTTGGTGTATGTATTTATAACTTAATATAAATTTCATTGCACTTACCACTATTCACTCTGCACTACCTTTGGTTGACTGGTAGAGAATGCCTTAGGCATTAAGTCCGCCAATATAAATTCTACATGAAGTGTAATAAATAAATAAATAAGAAGAAAGTATACAAAAAAACACACCCTGTTTGTTCTCCAGCTGATTCCGCAACTCGTTGTACTGCTCGGTCATTCTCTGCACCAGCTCTCTGAACTTGAGGATCGTGGAGTCGCGGTCGAGTATCGTCTCGAACACTGCCTCTCTCTCTCTCATCGCCTGAAAGAGATTAAGAGGTTGGGGAGGAGAGCGGCGCCAGACAGAGATCGCTTGTGCCTTTGACCATATTCAGAACATATCTCTTTTTTATTGCTTAGATTTTGAGAAGTCGTCGTGGCCTAACGGATAAGACGTCCGGTGCGTTCGTATGTAGCGATGCACCGGTGTTCGAATCCCGCAGGCGGGTACCAATTTTTCTAATAAAATACGTACTTAACAAATGTTCACGATTGACTTCTACTGTGAAGGAATAACATCGTGTAATAAAAATCAAACCCGCAAAATTTTAATTTGCGTAATTACTGGTGGTAAGACGCCTTGTGAGTCCGCGCGGGTAGGTACCACCACCCTGCCTATTTCTGCCGTGAAGCAATAATGCGTTTCGGTTTGAAGGGTGGAGCAGCCGTTGTAATTATATTTGAGACCTTAGAACTTATATCTCAAAGTGGGTGGCGCATTTGCGTTGTGGATGTCTATGGGCTCCAGTAACCTCTTAACATCAGGTGGGCTGTGAGCTCGACCACCCATCGAAGCAATAAAAAAAAATCTAAGCAATACTAAACGTCCCTTCAATTTTCGCGCGCGATTCTCATCAGTCCCAACCCCAACTCACCTCCCTGGTGGCCGCGTGAGCCATCTCCAACTCCTCGCGCAGATCCATCTCGAGCTCACGGTTCGACTCGACCAGTTGCTCGTGGACTTCCTGAAGGGCCTCCAGCTCCGACACGTCCTGCCTCAGCTGTTCCACCTGATCACGTATAACTTAACTTCATTTTAGGAATTTTATGACCTGGTAACTAAGACCTTTAAGTTATGTTTTTATTTTTTATTTTTTTAATTTATTTTCTTATTTTTATGAAAAATGATGAAATGAACTGAAGATGATTATATTTAAGACATTAATCAAGTGGGATGAAATTATATGAAAAGAAATGAGACGATATGGGATGAAATATAATCTCAGTAAAATGGTGGTCATTTACTGAGACTTTTGTCAGTGGACTTTTTGTAGGATCCCGAGAAGTTACGTACAGCGGCTTTGTTTCATTTTCCCACATTTTGCACTTTCACAGATATTAAACAGTTAATAAACCACCATTATTACACATTTAAACCTGAAGAAACACTAAATAGACAAAATAAAACAAATCACACAACTTCACTCCTCGCGTTCCCGCCAAAAAGTCTAACTTAACTTCACTACTCTATTTCTCTTACTACCCTCATCCATCAACCAAAATGTCAAGAGTCAAAGAGATGTTCTCGTATTAGGTCAATACAGTAGATTGGGGGGAATAGAGACTAGAGTTAGAATAGGAACAAATCTGAGATGTCACAATACTTTTGTTGAGTTGTCCGATTTAACTTCATTGAACTGAAAATGACTTTTATTTAGTGTTTATGAATATTAAATAGTTTAATTTAATCATCAAAGTTTTGTAACTTATTAAAGATATTAAAAAGTTAATTAACTAAAGTTAGGTGCGTACCTGACAACTAAATAGTGACAGCCCTATCGGGAAACTATTGTCCCCAAACGTAACCTGGTTCACCTCAAAGCCAAGGTGAATCGGGTCAAGTTAGTTTGTTCAGTTTTTATGTATATTTTATAATAAACTATGTATAATAACGCGTCGCTCCGGAACCATTTTAATATTACCCTAAGAAGAATCATTTGAAAATTTGTGTCGGATTTGGAAAGGGTCCCGATTCCCCCCAATCTACGGTACGTATTTTACGCGGAGCCGATTACTATGACCGATCTTGGGAGGGACTCATATCTACCTGTGGGTTTATGTGGGTCAATGATATAGATTGTGAACTAAAGTGGTTCACTAGAGATTTTCCGGTCACCGTCCTCGCCGAACCCGTCGCCAACGACGAAGGGCTCGGCGAGTAAATTAACCCACAGACACAGCCCACTGAGTTTCTTGCCGGATCTTCTCAGTGGGTCGCGTTTCCGAGCCGGTGGTAAATTCTGCAAGCACTTACTAAGGTCAGTGTTGGCAAATTCAGTCAGGTTGAGCCCGTGAGCTCACCTACTCGTACGGTGAACCTAGTATGACTCCTCGAGGTCACTAGAATAGATAGGAAAAAAGACGCGTACGAAATGAATATAGTAATGGTCGCACCGCCGATCACTCACCTGATCTTCCAAGGCCATCTTCTTCTCGGCCAATTGCTCGACCATCTCTTCGGCTCCCAAAGCCGCGTCCACCTGCTCGCGGAGGTCGCTGACCTGCGCCTCCAGTTCCTCGACGCGAGCAGACAGCTTCTCTTTGGTTCGACTCAGTTCCGCGATCTCAGACTTGTAATGCTCTAGATCCTTTGCCAAACAAAGATATAACCGTATACAGGGTGTTCAAGACAGGGTGTTTCATTTTTAAAGTCCTTAGACATCACAACTTCAACGACGCCATCCAATAGGCTGCGGCTTGGCTCTGCCTCTGGCATTGCTGAAGTCCATGGGCGACGGTAACCACTCACCATCAGGTGGGCCATGTATGCTCGTCTGTCTAAAAGGGCAATAAAAAAAATATATATATATATATACGACTGCAAATCGGAAATGACTGCCTCACGACAGAAATAGGCGAGACGGCGTGGTAAAACCATCAGTAATTACGAAAACCCATAATATTGTCTGATTTGATCTTCATCTAGGTGTTATTTCTCCATCGTGGAATGTGTTCACTTTAAAATTTAATTCCGGTCTAATGGCACGAGTTACTGGTGGTAGGATGTGTTGTGAGTCCGCAGGGGTAGGTACTACCACCCTGCCTATATACTGATGCGAAGCAGTAAAGCATTTTGATTCGAAGGGTTAAACAGCCGTTGTGCTACGGAATTTTTCTCTTTCTTAAACATCGCAGTATTTGAGCTCGTTGACCACTTAATCACAAAATAAGATATCAATGTTCTGAAGAAAGATGGCGGCTTCGAACGCAAGCAAATACTCATTACGTCGACAGGGATTTTGTTTATTTTTCTTTTTAACATTCCAGGCTCTGCTGTCGCAGTTTTAGCCTGCAGCACTGACCTTCTGCATCTTCTGCATTTCGTGCTTATCGTGCGCGGTTAGATCCCTCAGCCTGACCAGGGTGTCCCTGAGGCGGATGTTCTGTTGCTGTAGCTGCCTCATCTCGTAGCCCGTGGCTCCGCTGTCGGCGGCTGCGTACGGGTGCTCTGTTCAGCCCGCGCACACACAAGTCCACGTTTAAATATTACATCACATGCGCTGCCTCCCTGGGTTTCGTGTGAATCCGAAATGAGGGTAGTTCGTAATTTCTCTTTCACTAAATTTTCATCTACCCTCTTAGAGCACTAAAAGCCAATATCAAATTGTATTTATTCAAAACGCAAAGTACAGATCTTTCATTTTACTAGTTTTTTTTTGGTTGGAATAACACCCGACTATCTTTATTGACAAATTAAATTTAGGTCCAGGGAGACATTTAGAAAACAAAAAAACAAATACACACACACAAAAAACAAAAGACAATGCGTAAATAAAAATTAAAAACAATAAATTAAGAAAAAAGAAACATGCATGTAATAGATATATTAACAAAAAAAAAATTAACTTTTCATTAAAATTAGTTTTTACATTTTATAATTTGCAACGTTTCAAGAACTTTACGGTTTACGTGATATCAGAGAAAGAGGAATGAGTGTTAAGATGACGGCTGATAGAAGAGAATTGAAGACAAAAAGTAGCTGTACCGACCCCACTTAGTGGGATAAGGTGGGGACAAAGAAGAAAAAGAAAGAGTACGACTGACGCATGAGTCATTTTTTTTAATATTTATACGACTCGCGTTTACTGAAGGGAATACGCTGTCTATTATACGGTCAATCTTTGTATTCAATGAAAACGAAAGACGGATTATCATTCTCCCAGTCACCTGGGCGCAACATGTTTTCTCCTTCCATACTCCTCTGTCATATATAACATTACTTCGCTCCCCCCCTCTTACGCATATAGTCTTTCAATCCATCCATTTTTTCTTAGGTCTCCACAAAATGTAAGGCCGATACTGAATAATAATAAATAATGAAGCGGTGGCGATCCGCTGGATACAAGCAGCGCGGGACCGATCGTTGGGGCGAGGCTTTGGTTTACTTATGTCCAGGTACTTATGTCCAGCAGTGGACAGCTGTGGGCTGATAGATATATAGATAGATAGACATCATAAATAATACATAATAGATAAATAGATAATTGGGAACAAATCACACACGGTAATCCGGTCTCTGCGTTATGGGTACCAGAGACTGACATACATACTTATATCCGTTTAAATAACATATATAGATAAAGAGCAAACAAATTTGTTCATCGCACGAAAGTTTGCCCGATGCGGGAATCGAACCCACGACCCTTGACGCCACAGTCAAGGCTGCTAACTACTGCACCACCGAATCAATCAAAACTGAAGAATTCGTAGCATAGATTAATCGATTCGATTATTACATTTTATTTATTTATTTATTTATTGCTTAAATGGGTGGACGAGCTCACAGCCCACTTGGTGTTAAGTAGTTACTGGAGCGCGTCGACATCTACAACTTAAATGCGCCACCCACCTTGAGATGTAAGTTCTAAGGACTCAAGTGGCTGGCCCCACACTTCAAACCGAAACGCACTACTGCTTCACGGCAGAAATAGGCAGGGTGGTGGTACCTACCCGCGCGGACTCACAAGAGGTCCTACCACCAGTACATTCCTATATCCATACTAGTCATGACAGCGATAGATGTTAATCGTATTTCGAATATAATTTTATTCTTAAGTCATCATCGTCATCATCATCGAGAGAGGAAACAAGAATTTGCGTGGACGTCGAATTCACAATCGAACAACAGATTTACTGGTTCCAATCTGTTGAACACCGTCCAACATATTTACTGGTCTCATTCTGTTTAAGACCATCCAACATATTTACTGGTCTCATTTTGTTCGCGACGGACATAAAGAAACATAGTTAGAATAGGACATTCCCGACGGACATTTAGGAAAATTAGAAATAGAATAGATACGTAAAAATAGTTATAAATGTCCGCAGATAGATAGTATATGAAAAATAGCTGTGAAATAAATAGATAGAGAATGTCCGTAATGAACATAGTAAATATATAATAGAAATGTCCGTAATAAATAGTTATGTTAAAAATAAGTTAACATAAAATAGATAATAAATAGTTTATAATAGAGAATGTCCGTGATAGACAGTATGTTAAAAAATAGTTAGCATACAAATGTAAATAGATACAAGTAAATTTGTTATATTTTGTTTATAAATAAAGATTGGTCCTCGTGGTCTTTAATTTGGCGTGGGAACGCAGGAGCGAGTCACAATACGGGCAACTAATAGAGCGACTAGGCAAACAATAGGCGAGCGAGGCGGCCGAGAAAACAATAGACGCCCACCGTGCTCGGACTCATAATAGCGCTGGCCGAGTGCGCGTGGGCGACCATAAATAAGGGGCCTACCTCGCTGCAAATTCAGTTCGAGACAGCGAGCCGACGAGTC